TAAAAAATATATATTTTCTACTGATTCAAATTATAAATTATTTATTTATCAGCCACAGAGAAACCTGAATGACTGAAGTACTGTTATAACACTAGGTATATTAAGTTATATTATAGCTCTCACCGTGACTTACTGTTTAGCTACACTTCAAAATTGTAATGTGTGTGTGTGTGTGTTGTTCGTGATTGCGTGAGTGTGTGTGCCTTTTCACATTTTTATTGTTTATTTAATAGTTTATGTATTATTATTTAAAGTATTTATATCCGATATAGTATTTTGTAACAATTTCATTCATATAAATATGCAATATATAATGTATAATATATAATATTTATTATAAAATCTATTACGTGTATTAAAGAGTTTTATTAATTTGAGTTTAATCTCATCAGAAATTACGTATATTCTTTTTTTTACTGTAACCCGAAAAAAAAATTCTAAAGTCATATTTAGCAATCCACTTGTTGTCTAGTGAAAAAAAAGGATAAAATTAAAGTAAGACGAAAAGAAAGTAAAAATATTTATAAATATTAATACATAAATATAAAGGCAACATTTAAAATATAATATTTTGTAAATAATAACAAGTAATTCTTTTCACTCTAGAAGTAAAAAAAAATGTTTTTTTAAAAGACGTGCCATTTGATAACCCTTCACTGCAGTAAGCTGCAAAAGCCTGATTAATTAATTTCACACTAGCTCTACAGCAGATTTTCCCACAAACGAGTGACTCAAAAAAGAGAAAGAGGGATAGAGAGAGAGAAAAAAAGAACGCCCAAAGAAAAGAAGAAAAAAAGTCAACATCAAGTTCAACAACGTGCTGGTGCTCATTAGCATGACAATGCTGTCTGGGAGCACATAAGTCTTCTTAACAAGAGGCTCTGGCGTCAAGTCCCTCCACCTCCCAGGCCAAGCGGAGATTTTCCCAGGCTCTGCTGACAATCACACAACTGTTTGCTTTATAAACGCGAGCTCTGGGGCCACTCAGCCCGCCACGTCAGAGCCCACTGATCCTCCAGCCTGCTGCCACTCAGACTTTCAGACTTTCATTTCGTAGATTAGTTCGACTTTAGTTATTATTATTATTATTATTATTATTATTTGCGTTAATTAAAATCAATAATACAAAAATGTAAAAAATATATACTTACAAGGCATAAGTCGTGAGTAAATTCCACACGTCCGGTTCGTGTCCACGCGTCATTTTATGCAACTTTCTCTTTCTTTTTTCACGGGTAACCAACAAAGTCCAAAGAGAGGAACCCTTCTCTGACAGACGGAGTAAACCTGTACAGTGAGCCGATCCACACCACAGAGAAGTGCTTTTTAAAGCACCTGCTCTGTCGCTAGTGGACAGAGGACAGGCGAAGGGCCGAGGCTGCCAGCATCATCCGTCCCTGCATCCCAACAGCTCCACGTCAGAGTATGTGTGACCGTGTGTGATAGTTCGTCCCCTGCTCTCTCTCTCTCTCTCTCTCACTCCCTCTCTCTCTCTCTGGTCACTGTGGCAGACGTGCACAGAAGCCCAACACTTTTGCCCATTGAACCCGTGTCTATTGTTCTATTTAAATGTCACGCCTCCTTTCAACGCACACGCAGCATCTATTTTGGCGGCATGTGATGGAGATTTGGCCGCGGCCGGTGGCTGCATTGGCTCTAAAAACACCACCTCGGCCCGGTGATGGCGGTGGAGGCTATAAGAATGCAGCAGGAAGCTTTAGCTCGACGCAACATGTCAGGACACATGATGTGGCGGCGTGCTGCCCCGCAGAGACTGGAGCACAGTGACGTCCAACATCCACACACTCCACGGCACAAACATCAGTTTCCCCGGCAGGGGTTAAGATGGTCCAGGCAGTGATCTCCAGACGTGCACCTTGCGTGACTGAATCACCTGTGTGTTCAGCTAGAGGGGGAGCCCGGGGCGGGGGGGGGGGGGCGGGGGTGGGGGGACCCAACAGCAGCCGCCGCATTGTAGTTTCCATGCCTTCGTATTTTGTCAATTTACAGGAAGGATATTTGTTAAGACAGAGCCCGAGTCTGTCCAAGAGCAGCATCGGTGCGCACAAGAGAGATGCTGGTGCCGCAGCCTCCTCAGAAGCAGACGTTACCCCCCGTGTTCGTGCGACTCACGCTGTTTTACGCGTCGCGACGTCTCCTTCCTCCCTGCGCGCAGACAAGCTCACGACAGGCGCTCGTCAAAAGTGCAGCTCAGAGCTGAGCCAAAGTGTTGGAACAGGTCGGTGACCGCAGAGAGTGCAGCGGTGCACACACGAGCGTCAAACACACAGCGGCGCAAAAAAAAAAAAAAAATCCCCATCACATGTACGGAGCGTGGTTGTTTGCGTGCTGACGTCAGGCGCGGGGATAGGTTACTCTACAGATGATGTCCGGCGTATAGCCACTGTTTATAGGACGAGGGCACGTCACGCAGCACCAGACTGATTTGTGCAAAAGTGTCAGGTCTGTCTTTATCAGCCCTGCAGCCCCGTCTCAAAGCTTTTGTTTTTCTAATATTTTTTTCCACCGAAAATATTTATTCTGTGACGCTAAAATAAGAGCTCTGCAAGGATCTTAGGCCACTGTGCTATTCGTTAAATTAACAATACTTCAAGAAGAATATATACATCTGACCAAATACATGTGTGTAATAAAAACAAATTAAAAGGAAAAGGAAAAACATTAGTTCATTTAAATGTTGAAATAAATCTCCCATAATGCCACTGTTATCAACAGTATCTTGTATAAGCAAAAATTAATTAATTAATAAAATAAAACACAAACATAACATAATATTAATATTATTATTTTGCAACAAAATAAAGTAAGACTATTTTTATTTTTTTAAATTACATGACATTTAAATTTACTTTAATTTAAACATGTACCACTTACATGAATACATTTAAATTCCCCTAATGGCCACTAAAACAACGCAGAGGACATTTTTCCTAGTGCAATTTTAAACGTAGCAAAAACAGAGAGGACAAACCGTTGATGTGTCCTGTAATTCCCCCACGGCACGGATACACGGTGAATAATCAAATATCACCGCATATCCAGGTTAATCGAACTAAACAGCGACATCTATCGGCTAAATAATGTCACTGCGAGTAGGCCTATCTGCTGTCACCGTGGCCTTAATTTTAAAATACATGGACTTATCGATAATACGGAAATTCTGCAGAGCCATTAAAACCATCTTGGAACAGGTTTCTAGAAGAAATACTTTACACCATTAATTTGGTAATAACGTAATTATGTTGAAGGAATTCTGGGTTTAAACGTGTCGACGAAGCGAGAGGCCGTTTTTTTAACCGTAAATATATTATGACTCGTTAATCATAGAATAAATGTGAATATTCTAACGACAATAATTAACAAAAGATACTGAAAATAACGATTAAAAACACTTGTACATTATAATGACAGCATTAAAGGAACTGGACAAGATGACGGTCTTCTGTGATGATGCTAAAGCGAAGATATTACAAATATAACTACGAACACGTCAACAGATTAAAACACGAGTAAATAATGCAGGTAAAGAAGCAGTCGTTTACATTTACCTGCTTTTTAGGCGGGAATTCACGGATATAGAACAGAATTACAACAGAAAACATCCACAGAATCTACATTATAGCGAGGTTTAAGATCATTTTTTGTATTTACGATTACAAATTATATTTATCATTATATTTGCGTTTTGATATAAATTTTGATAATCATTCTCAACACTGTATAACATTTCAATTAAAAGGTTGTTTCACCGAAAATTGAATTGAGCTTTTTTTTGCAGTACATTCAAGTTGAAAAAGCAAATAGCTGTTCCTATACCTAAAAAAACAAAATATATTTTGCTTAAATATATGTGGGATATTATCTTGATTTGAAGAGTATTTAAAAATATATATTTTAATCGCTGACACGTGAAAATTACAATTTAATCTTTGGTTTGCTCTCGGTATGAAGAGGAATGTTCGACAAATTGTCTTTTAAAAGACAACAGTTAACATTCGGGTTTTTTCTTCTTCCTTCCCTTCGACATTTTATTCTTTATTATGGATAATACAGTAAAATATTCAATAAACAACAAATCATTTATTAATTACATAGTAATTAGTAAACAACAAATCATTTATTAATTACATAAAGTGTCACACGGCACCCACGCATGCGCATACGCAAATGACAGAACTAGTGTATATAAGTCCCAGAATTCTCAGTTTTTCAAACTCCACTTGAGTTTCCACGTGTCCCTTAAATTTCTGTCGCGTTGTGTTCACTGTGAACTTGACTCGGTTCAATGTTAATAACTGACCAATTCAAGTGGCCACTCCTGGGAATTGTAATGACGGCTGTTCAAAGAGGCTTGACCTGATGCGGCCACATTATGGTGTCATAGGTCAGACAAGAAGACCGAAAAGGAGCAAATATTTGCCCTTACCTCCGTCACGTTAACAAATCAACACCCACTGCCATTGGATGAAATATTTAGCAATAATCGGGACGATTTCACACATTCTCCATGGTATTGAATGAAGAAGAAATTCAGTTACAGTGGACTATAGTAAATTTGAATTTAAAAACAAAATTTGTATTTATTTATTTTTTGTTTAAATGTTGGATTTTTTTGTAATTTTTCACATTTAAACAGAAAACTACATGCAGCATTTTATATTTTATAGCCGCGCTTCTTTTCTTTGAAAGAGTGAAACTTTAACACATCTGCCTCCAGTCCCATTATAAACCAAATGTTAAAAATAATTGCAGCCCATATTACTGTAGTATAAGGTGTTTTTCTTCCTTTACACACCTGTTTTGCTTCTTTCAACGATGCATGGGGGCAAATCATTTAAAATAACATCATTCCATTTTGCACAATATTAACAAGTGCAAAATTATTGCATCCAGATATGAGATAAGACGAGTTCCAATTCAAATCAATACAATTCTATTAAAAATATGTTCTCTAACAGTTGTAGGACACGTAGACTTACCTCAGCAGAGACTGTGTCTCGTTCCTGTGCAGAGATGTTAGTCCATTCATCACCACGTGAAAAGAGACTGGTGTTCCTGCTGCTCTCCAGGTTTAATTGGGAACAGGCTGGGGTTTATGCTAATGAGCACTGACATCAGTCTAAACAGCCTCCTCTTCATAAAGGAGAGGAGCAAAGGGCCAATGTCGTACCTCTTTTCCCAGGCAATTCCATCGGTCAAGTTCAAGCCCAACGCCACGTCCTCACAACTGCTGTGAAATAAATAAAAAAAAAACAAAAAAAAACCAGAAGAGAAGAGAAGAGCTTTAATGACGTTTCTCAGCATGCATTTTATTTATGAAATAAAACAACACCAAGCACAAAAGATTTTTTTATATATATCCACAAATATTCATAAAGACGAAAACCAAGAATTTAATAATGTCAGTGAGGGAAATTGTGAAATGGGTGTTGAGTTTGTTGTTAGCAGAATGTGAATATACTGTATATGTGTGAGCAATCAATACAAATATACGTCTATAAAGTGTACGGTGCATGTGTCCTGAAGTGCATGTAGATAATTTATACCACTGAGAAAACACCAAACCATTTTATCTTACTGTTTAAACGTGCAAATATTCATAAAGTCCAGGTCATATGGTTAACATGGATTTTGACACCAGAATAGTCAGATTCAGTTTATATAGGACACTGATTTTAACATACAGTATAAAAGACAATAAATGATTAATGTGTATTATTTTTTGTATAATTAATTATTGCACATAATTAATGTAGATTATATTAAAAATGCACAGAATAAATGTTAAATAATCACAATACCAGAAATCTAATAAAGACATAACATATAATGCAGCGGTTGTTTGCCATGTAATTGACACTTAGTCACTGAAAAGAAAAACCGTTGCCTCTCTTATGCATTACATATTTTAAAGTATAGCAAATTGTGTACATCTGACACGTACAGTGATCCCTAATCAGCAAACACACTCCGTTACTGGCTGTATTTCCATGGACCTTTTGTACTCTCCCTTTATTCGCCATTATATACAGTATGTCTAATTATGCTAATTAGGGGACATGAGTCACTACTATAGAAAATCCTGTGTGACAAAGCAGATCAGGCCTTTGGTTGCGAGTTCCCACAGCATTCCCACCATTGGAGATGAGAGAGACAAAAAGGAAAAGAGCGGGTAAGGGAAGAGAGACAGGAGGAGGGAGAGAACACTGATGATGGGAGTTTTCTTTGACGGGACACCCTTGCTGTATTTGCATATATTCAAATCACACAATGAATAGCACGCATGGGTTCAAACAAAGACAAGCCAATGGGAGGGCTGCGTCCCCGCTGCAGGCTCGGAGGCGGCCGCCAGTATCCCAGCAGCACCCCGATAGACACCCAGGAAAGAGGTGTGGGAACCGTGAGGCCCCCAGAGCTGAGCAGAGGGAGGGGAGCCACTTGTGGACCACAGTGAATTAGCATTTTATTTGTGTCCATTTTCCTCAGTAAATTCTGCTCTGCCACTTCAGCTACAGATGGCTAACATGGTGAAGGGATTATCATTTGTGTCACAGATGAGAATGATGGAAATGTTTTCCTCCTTGACAGATATTTATTCTCACAAATTGGGAAAAAAATTATGAATGATATTTAGGTTTTCATTTCTGCATCTTTAAAAATACACAAGATGATAATATTAGGTGTAGTAATTGTAATACAATTAATAGTGTTTTCAGTTCCATTTTCTTTATATTTGAGTACTAAGGATGATTAAATACCTCATCTACAAATCACAGTTCAGATAAAACTAAAATCTGTCATTTGGACATTTAAAGAATTCTAATTTTTAATCCTAATTTTAAAGAAGTCGTGTCATAGCTTTAGGTACTGTTTTAAATTGTTTGGCTAGATTGGGAAAACTGCAGCCTCCTGTTGGATAAATACAAACGATACTATATTAGCTGCTCAGTATACAGTATATATTCGTATTTGTCTGGATGGAAATATTTGTCTGCGGCACATAACATTTTCTATCTTTCTTTCCTTCTTTCTCTCACAGATACAGAGCTAATAATCTCTAGGTCAAATATTAATTTTGGGAACAGAAAAGAAAAACTCTCATATTGCTGGATCAAAACATGTTCAATTTTTCTAGTGGTTTCCATTGAAGTTTGGTTAAAAATCTGTTTGCTATGATTTCAAAATGATACAATTGTTCTTAGAGTTGGAGAAAAACCCTGACTAATTAAATGTAGCACAGCTCAACACTTGAAAACAAAGGTTGGGTTTTTGTATAGAAAATAAAACAGTACAATTATTCTGTATTTACAATAATTAAAAGTAGTCACATCCCTTACTATTCCAGATGATTTGTTGCATTAGATATAATATAATAATATTTTTCACCAGTATCTTGAATAAAGATTCCGATTTTACAATCAATCTTTAATTTTACACTTAAGTCTTATTAAGGCATATAGCAACATCACATCAACCAAATCGTTCATTCATTTGGATTTGTTTCTACAGACGGCTTCAAAGTGAAACACACACTCCCACAGAGGCGCTCTCGCTTTGTTGCACAAAGCACCGTCTTTCGCTGAAATGTCATGTTCCTGCGCTCAAAATCACAGAGGATCAGAAACATATCTGGCAGAAGGGGTGCCACCAATCAGCAGAAGATAGAAATTCAATCAGACGTTTGGCAGACCACCCAGATAACATGGATACACATGCTAAACACTGATTTGAATGTGGTGAATGATTTCGCTGAAAGATCTTCAGAGAAATGCTGCTGGAAACACTCTGCACTGCTGGAGGCATACGGGCCTCCGCTTTGTACAGAGGTTGAGCTGCCATTAGAATGCATGTACACAGTATGTGTGTGTATGTGTATCCAATCTTAAGTGACCACCCACACATAGAGGAGGTTGGAGGCATCTGGGCTGTACCTTTAGCCTTTGACGTTAACATCTAAGAGATCATTCTAATCTAATAAAAAAAATATATATATTTTTAATGTGTACATAAATATATGTGTGATTATTTAAATGTCACTTATTGATTTCATATCAATTCCAAAGAGAACTTATTGATTTCATATCAATTCCAAAGTGTAGAGAAAAAGCAACATTCAATGAGATTTATTTACTTCTTCAGGGTTGTGGGAACTGGAGTCAGTCCAGTAGAGGTAAGGCAACAACAGACATAGACTATGGACATTATAGCGCATACACCCATAATACAACACATCCTGTAAGTATATAGGGGCTATATACTGACGGGCCAACTCTAGTACACATTTGATATGATCTTGTGGGGAAAATCTAATTACACTACGGGCCAGATTTGGCCCCCGGGCCTGAGTTTGACACGTGTGCTTTAGAGTTTCCAATAAATCTAGTCCTACACCTTTTTGGACTGTGTGAGGAAGCTGGAGAAAACCCTTGGTACACAGTAAGAACATGTTCCAAACATACACATGGACTATCAGGTACTTTTACTGACTTTGCAATAATATATAATTATATAACAACTCTAAACAAGTTAATAACTAGTTCTGCTATACATTTTACTTTATATTTGGTTGAAAAGAGACAATACTGCTGTACATTTGGACGTTGTACATATACAGACATTGATTTTGTTACTTAAACTAGAGAAAACCAATAACTTCTTTAGGTTGAGACACTGTTTTCATAAGAGTTTAAAGATTTTACCTGGGTGTCTTAAAAACGTAAAGAAAGAAATGCAGTGACACGGGTTCCTGGGGTCATCCAAGGTACAGGGTAATTTAGAATACGGTCTTTTTATGCTTTATTCTCTTAAAATGGAAACGTTTGTCGACTATTTATCTCAAGCAAGCGCGTTGTCAGGATTGCATGTTTTAATTCAGCTGTGGGTGTGGTGTGTTGAGGAAACACCAAACATTCCCTGGACAATAGTGCTCCTGAAAACCTCAGAGCTTTTGTGTCTCTATATGTACAAAGACCAATAAAGCTGATTGTGATGTCTATATATCCATAGAATGGTCTATCTATTGCACTTTGTGTCACACACAAAATTAAATAATAAAAAAAGCAAACAATGCGTACTTTTACAGAGAAAGTCGTAAGACGTCAACACGAGCAGCTGTTTAAAACAATATTAAAAAGGTACATACCTTTTTTAGAGTACATGAACGCAACACTCGCGACACTCGAACATCCGGGACACTGAGCGGTTTCACATGTCTGTTGGTTCAGCTGTCAACCAGACTGCTGCATGTGAAGGAAGCTTCCATTGATAATTTAAAAGACAGCGGTTTCTATCAGAATAAATGGTGAGTCACCGTCTGTTACACCAGTATGTTATTAATACTGTCTGTTACCCACAGTAGCAGTCACTTGCGAGTTATTTTAGGGGGTAGCCTTCTTTGCAGTGGTAGCTAGTTTGCTAATGCTAAATGACCAGTTGTCTCCTGCAGCACTGATGACATGTGTTTAAGTTTAGCTTTAACTTAGTCTCTATTTGGGGTTACTGGCTTTATTATGCCGCTTTTGTACGTTTCACAAGTTCTTCTGCTGTTATTGGGGAGTGAATAAACGGATAATAAAGTGTAAACTGCGTCTGTGAGAAACTTTCTCGTGTCTTGATTGCTGAATCAACACATAGTGTTGTGACAGACTGTCACAGTTGTAGAGAAGCCACTGCTCGCTGACAGAAACAGATGATGGCCAGGTTGACAAAACACACCCTAAAATAGTTGTAACTTCCACGAAGGCAGCACAGAGAGCACGTCCCTTGTACCAGCATTGAAGCAAGTTTGCACTGAAGTTGTGTGTATCATTGAATGACCTTGTAACACGAGACACTGTGTAAAACCACGAATATAATTTGGTCCTTTATTTTGTCGATCTCACATGGGTGACATTTAGTTGAATATACGACGATTAGTTGTGACTAGATAACAACAATAATAATATATATTCAAATTTCTAGATATCTGAATGTTTTTTAACAATGTATTTTTCTTGTGTTTTTGCTCTGACAGGCGCTGATAGGGATTCAGCTGGTGGTCAGCTTGCTGGCTGCTAGCATCATGCAGAAGATGGCTCCACATTTCTCATTTGCACGCTGGCTCCTCTGCAATGGCAGGTAAAGTCATTTAAAGAATTCTGGCTGTAAAGGCAAAATATGCACAATTATATGTTAACACTGTTAACTCCATCTCGCTTCTGTTTCTCAGTTTGTTCCGGTTCAAACACCCATCAGAAGGGGAGCTGTGTGCACTGGCAGGGAAGCAGATGCCCAAACCAAACAGGAGAGACAGGTGAGAAACTCCTGCTAGTTAGCCACGAGCTAAATGTTTTCTTTCTCATGTTTGATCGCTTTAAATACTCACAAAAGTCTTCACTGTAACCTGGTTGTAGGAGACAGAACGGGGAGAACAAACCTCTTACTGTTCCTAAAGATATCGATCTCCAACTGCAAACAGCTCCTGTCAATGTCATTGATGCTCTTGGTAAAGAAACAACACTTTTTTCCACCACTAACACAGGGAAGTTGAACACGTACAAACTAATAATTTTGTGTTATTTTCTGTATCAGTGCTGCGTTTCTTCCTGGAGTACCAGTGGCTGGTTGACTTTGCGGTCTATGCATCTGGTGTCTTCCTTTTCACTGAGTGTTACTACGCTGCGGTAGACGCCTCCAAAGAAGTCAACATTGGGGCCATTTGGTGTGTTTTGACCGTGCTCTTTAGTCTGTATCCTTCAACATAAAACCCATTTTCTGTTGTTAGTAGTAGTAGTAGTAGTCTACCTCAGAGAAAATATTGAATATCCAGTCAATAATTCTCCTTTTAGTTGTTTGGACTTAATAGTTAGCACTCAGAAAGACCCTTCACACCCTGATGAGCCACTATTTCCGCTCCGAAGAAGGCGGTGAGCGGTCGGTGTGCCTCGCCTTTGGCTTTTTGTCTCTGCTCGTTGCCATGCTGGTGCTGGTGGTGAGAGAAGACTACCTAGAGTTTGGCCTGGAGCCTGGCTTTTCCAGCCTTTTTGATAATTTGGAGATCTTCGCAAGACAACAGGGTTACGCCGACTGGTCGTAAGTATTTCTCCGCAGCACAACGACGAAATCCACATGACCTCTGCTGGATCTTTCCCTGTTCAATCCTGCTTGTTTTGATTCCAGAATCCCAGTCACTAAGCTGACGGTTAAGCTCGGTCTTGCTGCAGTCTGCGCATACATCGGCGCTCTATTGGTCTTCCCTGGACTGCGACTGGCTCAGACTCATTTGGACGCCGTAGAGATGAACTCAGATCGACCACTGGTTCAGTAAGAACAGATCTATTCACTGGTCACTGCAGGATCAATGTCCTACATGTCCGATACTAATGTTTCTTTTCTATAACTCAGGATTTTGCTGCACATGAGTTTCCTGTCTCCAGTCTTTATGGTGCTTCTTTGGGTGAAACCTATTGCAAGAGACTTCCTGGCCAATGCACCAATGGGGAAGACCTCTATCACAATGTGTGTTTTCCAAACTTCTACTTTTTTATGATTTGTTTTTTATGAACCGCAGCTGATGTCATCATCTCTTGCAGAGTTCCCAGTGCAGTGTTCGACAGCATGCGGCTGTGGATCATTGTGGTGCTCTGCTTACTGCGTTTAGCACTGACCCGTTACCACCTGCAGGCCTACCTTAACCTGGCTCCGAAGTGGGTGGAGCAGATGAAGAAGGAAGCTGGACGAATCGCCGCCATCGACATTCAGAGGAAGGTGAGAGGCAGCGGTGGTCCCTCCTGTGGTGTACGCACGGTGGAGAGTGGACATTTAATTCAACTTTTATAAAGCATTCTTTAAAAACTCAGCTTTGCTATAGATGATGATGATGGCTTCATGTGTCATATGATCTGTCCTTCCAGGTCACACGTATATTTTGCTATTTGACGGTAGTCACTCTCCAGTATCTGGTACCGATTATGCTCATCCTCTTCTCCACACTGTCACTCAAGGCACTGGGTAAGAAAACCATTTTGAGGTTGTGTTTTTAATTTGAGCTGTGTTTACAACCATCATATCCACTCCCATGTTGTGAATCCTGCAGGTGACTTCTCTTGGGGACTGGGTGCAGTAGAAACCCCAGGGGTCACTCCGGCTCTGGTGCTGCCCACTCCTGCACCTGTGCTGCCTGGCATAGTTGATGAAGACGAGGACGGGGTTGAGGACATGGAGGAAGACATCCAGGCCACAGTAGCTCACCTGACGGCCACATTAGCAGCCCTACGTGCCGTATTCACTCCTCTGTTCTTCAAAGGCTTCTTCACTTTCCTCACCTGGTGGGTGGCTGCCTGTCAGGTCATCAGCTCCCTGTTAGGCATGTATTTCCATCAGTATCTTATGCAGAACTAACTGAGGGGAGCAGAGAACCGTGCTGCTCACACACGCGTACCTGCAGTACAGCTGGAGCTCCTGGTTCCAGAGGGTTCACGCTGCAGGGAATTGCAGGACAATTCCAGACAGATTGTATCACGTTTCTGGTTGTAGCAAAATCAACCACGGTTATTTGGACAGAGTGAAGGTGGACACTGTTGGTTTGGACACTGGCTCCCTTCATCACCTCGTCTTTTTTATGAGCAGGATACAGGTATCAAACAAAGACTGACTGATCAAGTTTATAATATCCTGTTGCAGTATGACCTTTGGTTCCCAGCTCTTGTAATATCAGGATTGTAGAGGACTTGATTTAAAACTGTAAAATGCCTTAAAGCTGACCGGTCAACTTAGCTCATCTGTAGTTGCACTGCACAGAATTAGGGTTACTTGGATTTTGCATGCTACATGCTATTGAGTATTGAATTGAGCCATGCCTAATTTATACACATTAAAAAATGCCACAAAACCGTCCACGATGGCTGAGAAATATTTGATGTTGAGAATGAGCATCAGTTTTTAACGTTCACTTTGAAGGGTTTTTTGGTTTGTTTAAGGTGGAAACATCTCCTTCCTCCTGACGTACAGTACTCAGTACGTTTAACTCAGGTGATGATCATATTCACTGCAGTTCAGCCATAACGATGACTCCCATTAAAGACTGTCTGTTTAATGAGTACCAACTCATCCTCATTGTAACAACACAACCGTGCCAACTTCGCAGTGCTGCGTAACTCTACCGTCTGGAGTATTAGTAATCCTCACTGTGTTTTGTTGAGGGTCTTTTGTAAATTCCTCTGTTGGAACTGATTGACATCTGAACATTATTTCTCTTTATTTTTTCAAGTGATTAATATTAACATATGTCGTGAAAAACAGTTTTCAGTAGATTTCAAACACACTAAGACACATGTCCAGACTGTGTGAAGCTATATATTTGTAAACACTTAACTAGTTTCCTATAGTGCCTCTGTCCTCCCTGTTAAAGATGAGAGAGTTTCACACTTGTCTCTCACCACATTTCTAATCTGCTGAAGAAACATGTAGATTGTTGCCATCATCGTCTACTTCTACCCATCTGTCCATTTTACTTGAAATAACTTTCAACTCTGTGCGTTTTCCCCGTTATTTATATGCACTGCTGAATTTTGAGGCATGTTTTTAGTTTTACTGTTACTTTTTGTAAATCTTTGACTCCGGCGTCACGGCCCTGTGAGGTTCATTATAATGTGATTTTTGTTTTAGTTTTTTTTTGAATGCATGGTGTGAAGACTTGCAGTGAACCAACTCGGTTTTTATCTGGTTTAATAAAAACAAAAAACACAAACATGATTATTTTTCTATGACTGCGCCTTGGAACCCAGCAGATCTCTGTGTGAGTGTTGGTGACCATGTGTTTACACGACCCAGACGTGCTCTATAGACTGAGTCTGGCCTTTTCCCCTGGGAGCAGACCAGACATGACCCCAGAGAGAGGCTCTTCTCGTTTAGGGAGGAGGGATGACAAAGGACCGCAGTCTGACTTTGGTGTGGGTAAAAAGAAAAAAAAATAGTATAGGAGGGAAAAAAACAGCAAGATTGTTGGTGTGCTAGCCTGCTATGCTAACAAGGGAATGTGTGTGTCTACAAAGAGGTGAATATGATGAAACAAATCCACACCAAAGATACCTTTTCTGGATGGAGGTTATACATCAAAGAAGAAAAGAGTATATAGCAGTGATCAACTGGTGGACTGGGGGCCGAATCTGGCCCACGACTTTATACCAAAATTGTGAGAATGTGGTCCCCACTAATAAAACAACTGAAAACAACAACTAAGGCTTGAATAACTATCAACGATCACCTTCATTTATAACTATTCACATCCTAAAATGAGGCAAGTTCGGAGGCAAGGTCACAAAAATGTGATTTTTATTTCATTTTTTTGAGTGTCCGGCCCCCAGGGTGTCTGTCCAGACAAATTCTGGCCCTCCGACAAATATAACTGGCGACCCCCGTGTTACAGTAGGATCTCTTTTGAGAAGAAACATGAAAAAAAACGAAACATCTCATCGGAGTAAACATACAAATCATCTCTATTTAAAAACAATCACGCGAAGCACAAAATAAAACAGGTCCCTGTACTGCTAAAGAAGCGTTCACTAAGCAACATATCCCAAATCGGATGGTTTATTTTCATGCTCATATTTATCTTAATGACAGTGTTTAAATAAAGACAACACTGGCCAAATGTTTTCCATGACGATCCTCAGATAAAACTAATAAAATACATAATTTGTCCATAAAATGTAAGGCTCTCCGTTCTCATTAAAACATTTATATATTTACAGGAACACCTTTCGTGGACAGTCGTCATAAATAAAAGCACATTTTACCGAACAAAGTGTAAATATTAGAACTAATCAGGTTAGATTCAGTAATCTCTCTATATTATCACACACAAACACACACACACACACAAACCAAGCCACTCAGTAAAAAAGTCTTATAATCAGACCTGAATAGACCAGCTATATTTAATTACATACAGCCATGGCCAATAATATCAGCGCTCTTGCATTTTTGCCAGATGACACACCACGTCTCCTACGGCAGTGATGCGTCCACATTTTTAATTCTTCTTCTAAAAAAAAAACCTGATACAATTCCACTTGGAACTCAAAACAACTGCACTGGACAAAATAACTGGAATATTTAACTTTAAATTTGGTAGCACAACCTTGAAGAAAATAATAAATTCATACAACTGAGTTTCTCAGACCTCTCTATTTTCTTTGAAGGTCTGTAAACAACTCAACAAAATGTTTTTTTTCCTCCAACAAAAAGCTCTACTTGTCTCTAATCTATCCAAGTTTTCTGGAACAAAAAACATCAATTTCGTTGTTCCGTCCAAACACAGGGAGTAAAACTACATTTGAACTAACATATCAAGTTGGATGGCATTATTTCTGTTCTTGCAGGAGCATCTGACGCACGAAATGCTATTATTTCTTACAATTTTTGTCCAGTACGGATAACATCTGCAAATTGCAAACGTTTCCTGGAAAAATGAAATCTTCTGCAGTTTCTGACAGAATTGCAGGGTATTTCGATATTTTGGCCACGATTGTACTTCCTTGGATGCTGTAGTATTGCATAGGAACACTTTGGTCTCTGTTTAAAGCTGATTGTCAATAAAATGATGTCATTATTATATTGTTTGTGGAGAGAAAAATATTAGGACGGAAATGAATCATCTCTCTGTATATATTTATATATATAGGGTTTACATTCAAAAATAAGGAACATTTAAAGTCAATACGGACACGCCCTTTTTTAAAAGTACGTGTGAGATTAGGCAACATTTAGCAATGTGGCCCAAGTACACGTTAGGGTTTTCAGTTGTCATTTAAACACAAAACAAATGTGTACCGTGAGCCGCTGTGAAGCATTGTGGTTAAAGAACGTTCTGGCGTTTCTACCACCAGGCGAAAAAGCCAGCAAAAAAAAAACAAAACACATTTTTGACCTATTTCCAGTTGAACTGAAATGTTAGATGGTTTCATCTAAATGGTACTACACAGATGCAGAGGCGACAGTGTACTGCAAAATATACATCCCAGTACTTTTAGGGAGGAAAATCTCTGTTTGTTTAAGACCGTTTTTTTGTTTTTTTTAAACAAACTCTCCGTTCAGCATGAGTTTGCTATTAGACTGGCAATTCAATGAATCCAAAACACTTTGCTTCAAGGCAATTTTTTAGACGACAACAATAACACCAAAAAGCCTTACTTTGATACATGTCTAGGCACATTTAACCATTAAAAATAAGGCAAAGGTGTCAGCGATGACTGGGCTGATGTGTGAAACAGATGAGGAATTTTAAGCGTTTATAGACAGATAGATGTGTTTTTTGGGAATCTTTACAAAAAAAAAAAAAAGGTGGATAATTTTATGGCAATTCTTTTAAATTTTTGTCTGAGCGTTATCAACCTCATAGGTTGAACTAAAAGTCAATGACAGGCCCATTTTTGTTAGAACGTTGGTCCCACAGCTCAGCTGTAGCTGGCTAAGTCCCAGACCTTACACTCACCTTAAATTTTTAACCACATCATCTCCCCAAACAAACAAACAAACAAACAAAAATCCAAAGAAAGAAAATGTCTATATTTCACACCATGACACTCAGACGACCCTTGGTGTTTTTTCCAATTCTATGTGATAAGACCAGAACGAGGCTTCCTTCCTGTCTGGGACCATGGGCTTTTATTTCCAGGTATAGATAAATGCACTGCTTATGGTGGAACATGGGTGACGGTGAGGGAGGTGAGAGGCGGGTGAGAGAGACGGTGGCCATCCTGCAGCAGCCAGCTATCTGTGCCAGCTGTCAATCATCTCTGATGGCCTCACTGGCTGTCCAGCCTCCTTCTCCTCCGGTGGGTAACGGCCTTTGGGAAATTCTTTTGTTCCGTTGGACGGCTGTCTTTCCGGTGGTGTACGACAAGCCGAATCCAGGTCGCTGATTGGAGAAGGCTGTCGCAGGTGGTGCAAAGGCGGAGTGGTGGGTGAGGACATGTGCTCGGGAGAGCTGCGCTCTGATTTGATGTTGAGGTTGAGGGAGGACAGATTAGGAGCGGCGGAGGAGCAACACTGTGAAGAGAAAGAGCACCCCCCACTGGACATCCTGGGGATCACAAGAGGACAGAAATTAAAAGATCGGAGTTTGACGTCATCAAATAGACATAACCACTGCATTAAACTGTGTAAGACATTAGCAGAGCATAAAAATGTTTCCTTAAATCGTTAACAAAGGCATGTATCTCTTATTGTAAACATACAAATTAAGCTTATAAACGACATTATATACAAACTTTTTGGTGTGTCATACATCAGTTTACTCAATTACATTTTTTAAACTTATATGATATCAAGTATTGTCTGATTCATTAAAATATGTTCAATTTAAAATAATGTAGTGTTTGTAAAAATTCAGGATTTTTATAACTGCAACAAATCACACTTAAGCATTCATCTTGACTGTATTGTTTCTTGTTTGTGGTAATAAATGACATCACATTAGCATACAGTATTACATGTTACTGATCATACCATTTGTGGCCTCTCATCAAACAGAAATATTAGACTGTAAACACAGTACAAATGAGCGTACGACCATAGATATATTTTCAAAACCCTCACAGTAAAGTGACTCTCGGTGACACAGCTGACATCTGTATTCTTACCCTGCATTATTATGAGGCTCCTGGGGGAGCTGCGTTGTCTGCCAGGGGTTCACTGCTCCTCTCTGTAGACTGACAGACTGATAGAAACCAGACTGATTGTACTCTGAAACAAAGAACCGGCAGATTGTTTGATTTGTCTGCTGCTTCAGTGACACTTGAAACAAGAGGACCCCAAAAAGGAAAAAATAATGTAAAAAATGTTTTTCTTTTAGGCTGAGTTTTTTTTTGTGTGTCACCAACTATATTTGTTGGAGGGATATAATTTTTCTAGACAGATGCCTTGGGGGCTGGTTACTCAAATGAAATGAAATAAAATTTACATTTTTGTCAAATGGAATGTAACCACTGATGGTTATTTAAGCTTCAGTTGTTGTTGTTTTTTTAGTTGCTTTAATAGTGGGTCAATGGGCCAGATTCGGCCTGCAGGCCACCAGTTGATAATCACAGACCAGGACACCTATTAGGCTAAATCAATCTGCTCCAACTAAACAGACCTGAAAGTGACATCAAAACCCTTTGTTTTCCTTAAAAAATAATTTAAAAAATAATCTAGCTCCATTTTCCCTGAGAGACAAACCTGGAGAGATGGGGGAGGGAAGGCTGTAGCCTCCCATGTTGTGTCCCAGCAGTCCTGCCTTACCCATGGTCACCATGGAGCCGCTGTTGTGCAGACCCTGGTACAACAGTCCCCTCTGATGGTCAGACACAGAAATGCTCCAAATGAGAACCTTGAGTACAGCGGTAATCGTAGCTAAAGTTGAAGTGAATTTGTGAATATTTGAAAATGAATACATTAACACTTGTGTTGGCAAAGCAGCCTTGGGTGTCGAGTGTTGATTTGACAGCGTGTGCTGCCTGTTGTTGACACCTCTTCAATCTGAGAGGGCAGCAGCAGCTACTTACAGCTGAGCTGTGGTTGTGGTTCACACGTACGGCCTGATTAGCAGCATTTCCCCGCAGGACCTCGCTGCCCAGGTTCAGAGGAGGAGGACTCTTCACGTCCAGAGTGCGGCTGCTGTGGGACAACACAGAGTAACCGATACCTGCACAGTGAAACAGGGCGACAGGAAGTGAAACGAGATGTGAGCTTGTTGGGTTCAGCTCCCTGTGCGTCTGTTGAAGAACATGACATTAGGGCAAATTTGATTCATTTTCATATACATAAAAAAATAAAAAATAAAAAAAACTATGGAATAAGAAACTGACTAAATCTTTACTTTGGTAGTTTATTTGATCGTAAAAACTTTTGAGTTTTGTTCCAACAGTACGACGTGAATCTATTTTCAGCGTAAATCAGAACTCACATACCGTATTTTCCAGACTATTAACTGCTACTTTTTTCCCGCGCTTTGAACCATGCGGCTTATACAAAGATTTAAAATGAGACAGACAGGGGTAGACGGTGCAAAGAAGAACGCGCTAGTTTTTGGGTACCTGGATATCGGCGGCTTATAATAGATGTAAATTTATAGTTTGTTTTTTTTTAAACTTAGTGGGTGTGGCTTATATTCAGGTGAGCTCTATAGTCCGGAAAATACGGTATATATATATATATATATATAAAACATAATTTAGCATCAACAGAAATTGCTTTACACCTGATTTTCCTCAGTGTGGGATAAATCAAGTCTTATTCAATTTCTTATGCCTTACAGTAGTTTCTCGAAATATGTTTTATACCTGAACCTAGAATAAGAATATACATTAGTAACTTTTTTTGTGGTTTATCTTCTGAAACAGCATGGTTTCACTGATGTAGACGATCACGGTGACAGAGACGGTCTGTTTCTTGTTGTTAAATGTTGTGGAAAAAAGATGAATAAGTCACAGTACGTGCACCAACTCAGAGACCGTAGAGGAGGCAGACTGAGGGACAGCTGCGATAAACTCTGTACAGAAACCACATATCTGGTTACAATGGAAGGCTAGTTTCACAAACCACTCCAAATGCATGTACAGTAGCACACAAACACGACGTGTACACACACTTCCTGTGAGTTCACAGCCAGCTGCACTCACAGTTCATGTGAATTTACCAAGAATTAAGTGAGAAGGATGGAGAAGTGTGAATGGGTTTTTTCACGCGATTGTGTCTATTTTAAGATTTTCTTTTTTTCCACAAAATTTAAACCATAAAAGTGAATAAAATCTAAGTAAAAAAAAAATCAACCTCTTTTATTAAACATGTTGCCAACTCAAGGCACATGGGCCAAATGTGGCCCGCCATGTCCTTTCTTGTGGGCCACCAGAGCTTTTCATATATATGGTTGTCTTAAAATAAATGTTCACCTCAAAGAGTCTGGATTAGTGAAACGCAGTGGTCAAATTCAGGGCGTGTAACTCTACAATTCTTCTTTTAATCAAGTGCAATGTGAAAAATGTGAACCCTGTTTGCCTCCTAAAAAAAGACTGCGTTTTAAAAGTCATCCCCTTGCATGATTGAGTATGACGGTCCTGATTTAAACAATCATAATCAACAGGGGGCGCTTGACTTAAGCCAGCGTTCCATTCCTACAGTGCGATGTAGGTCAGAATACACTCACATAATGTATATAAGTACATATGTCACTCACTAACGCAGGGGCTACATCATAATGTAGGACATAAAAACATCAGAAGAGTCTGACTTACACCTGGGAGTCATAATGATGGGCAAAAAGTTCCCAAAAAAACAAAACAAACGTGAACGTAGCATAATCCAACGCATGGCGTACAACCAGTGCAAGTAAACAAAGTTGTCATCTGCGTATAGCACAGCTAGTTCCCGTGCAAACGAGTTGGTGAATTTTAACGCCGTACGTCAGAGTGATGGAACAAGACTTTCTTTGTAACTTTATGAAACGGCGTAGGTCGAGGATGACGTGAACCGAGGACGTCCTGTGTATATATATCTATCTATAGATTCCTTACCTGACTGTGGAGACATAAACCCAGTTTGGCTGTGTGACGCTGCAGGACTGGCAGAACCAGGTCTGGAGCTGATGGGTTTGAAGGCCTGGGGTCTGTGTGAAGCCCCGTCTGATCCAGAGTTACTGTTGAAGCTGTTTTCACAGCCAGCAGACAACAGAAACTGGGCCTCAGGGGTGAGCAGTGACGGAGCCTGAAGTTATAAAAAAACAAATATGTTCAGTACAGTGACGAATGAGTACAAACCAAACATTTAACGCATTTTTCTTTCACAGATTTCTTGCACATGTGGTGATGTGGTCAGTGTGGATGAATGTAAAGGTACTGACGTAGAAGCGCTGGCGGGCCACAGTCAGATCCACGCCCTCTCGTCGAGGGTATTTTTCGGAGGCCTCCTCACTGTCATGCTCTGTGCCATCAAGACCCAGACCTTTTCTTCTCAGCGTCTGTTGCAGAATGGACGAAGAGCTTTAAATAAATGACACTAATGCTAAATGACATAAGCTATTTACAATTAGCTCCAACAACTTATGAAATCAAACGGCTTTGTGTTTTTTTTTTTACACAAAGCCATTTGCTACATTTAAAAAAAATCAAATATTAAAATATTCTAAAATATTCAATTGTGGCTCACAGATGTGCGTCTTTGCAACCATCGTCCTCATTCGTGATTCTTAAATTAAAACCTTTAATTTGTTTTGTAACCAGTGGTTCCCAAGTTCATTTATTTCAGTCTTCAAATTATTATTTTTTAATTAAAAGAAGAATGAAATAAAATGAATTCATTTTTATCTTCCCTGCTCTTCAACCAGTGTTTTGGGGCTTTTGGGTTGTTTTTTTTTTCAATTTTGGGTACTTTAAGCAAAAAGGATTCTGAGTGTTTCAGATGAAAAAAAAATCATCTGACTTAGAAATGACATTCATAATTAGAAAGCTAAATTATATAAAAACTAATAAAATTAGGAATATGAACCAGATAGTAATACATACAAATATCACAAAAATAATAACAGTAGTTTTATTAAGTAAAATACAAAAACAAATACAATTATGTCTTTATACTGTGTATTGCATAATATTTGTTGTCTTCTTAAGAGTATTAATAAATGTTTTTTGTTTGTTTTTTCAATCTGAGTGCATTTCACTGACAGTACCTCCAGTATGTCTGAATTGGTGCGACTCTCGTGCGGCTCGCTGTATTCCGTGTACTTGAGCAGCACTTTGTCCATGTCTGTGCTGGCGTACTGGAACAGACGGTTGGTGCTGTTGAAGATGATGAGGGCGATCTCACAGTCACACAGTACGCTCAGCTCGTACGCCTTCTTCATCAGACCAAACTTCCGCTTGGTGAAAGTTACCTTGGCCACAACAAGCAGACGTCAGCTTCAGACCACAGTTAGTGTCTCGAACATAGGCGCAGTACACGGGAAGATTAATATGGTCATTAATGATCAACGGTCGACACTTGTTGTGTTCGCCCTGAAGAATGACTGAAGAGTGTGTTTTAATAGTGTAATGAACAATCTATCTATCTATCTATAACATGATGAACAACAATCATCAGCAGAAACATTGTCATGAAGATCACATTTAAGGGACAATTTTATTATTAACAATTTTATTGCGTTTCCTTATATTTGTCAGATGTTGGACTCTTCAACAGGATTGTTTTTTTTTTGTTTGACTGAGTTCCATTTAAAAACAAAAATTCAATTTAAAGTTTATCATGTTTTCCGTCATTGTGACCTTTGTGATGGACTGCCGGTCATTTCTCATACTTAACCTGGTCACCCCAATGCCAGTAAAAACCAAACAAAAAAAGAAGCCTATTATCTTATACACTTGTCATTTTGCAACACTTCCCCTTGCAGTATTCCCACTGCAGATGCTGCCGTGCACATTGTGTGTTTACGTCCACAGAAGCGGAGCTGTCACAGTGTGTATCCCTGCACTCTCAGCTATGACTACAGTATCTATGTATAGAGACGGCTGCTCTATTTAATGTTGCATACTTCGCACAATTGTGCAACAGAATGCTGGGCTAAAAAAGAACATGTATTGTGTCACACTGATAACAACAGAAAAAAATAATACATTACCAATATGAATAATTTTACTTTAAAAAGTTAAAATTAGCAATATAATCATGCGATTAATAGTGAGATTCAAGTTTAATTAATGAAGAAAATGAGAAAAAGTGACGAAATAAAAAAAACAAGACACATACACTTTTGTAAATAGGGTTTTCCTACTGTAAACCTAAATAAATTTAAGGCGCTATTGTTGGTATTTCACCCTTTAATTCTTATTTTGTAGCCTGGCTTTTTGTGACCATCATTCGGTGGTTATAGTGATAGTAAATGCTTCAAACTGAACCACGTCGTCGCTTTTAATGTGCCCATCAGAAATAACCGAAATGCTGTGAAAGTGAAAGACCGTCAAAGATAAGAAGACAGTCCTACACAGTTCTGCATTTCTGCTCACCTGTCTATTCCTCTGGTCCAAAATGGGGGAGATCTGTATTTTCTTCCTTCCCATTTTTCTGCCCTCTGTTAATCAGACGCCTGTCACAGAAAAACAAAACATTATAGCGTATCAAAACTCACAGTGCCGGAAAATGTATTGCAAAATTTGTGATATCATATACAGCTGGCGTTAAACACGACCTGAACAGAATAGTGGAAGATGAATAGATAATCCATCTCTGAACATAGAAACCAGGAGTCCTCAAACACCAGCAATCACTTGAATAGATAGAAAAATGGAAGATATGATGTGTGTGTATATATATATATATATATATATATATATTACTTTAGTCTGCATGTTTTTTTCCCTTCAAAAACGACCATTTCTGTTCACTCCTCTTTTTAACACTCGTGGCAGTTTTTCCTTCATGCACCATTAATCCCTAAATCTAACTTTAACAAAAATGAGAGCATTAAAGAGCATTTTTGAAAGAGACAGAAAAAACTAATGACTCAGATACGCAGATAGCTCCAAAAACTGCTGCCAAAATACCCCCTCATCCCCCAAAAAAGACCTACATAATAAAAAACAATTTTTATTACATTAAATACGTAGTAATTAAACTACGCACGATTCGCAATTCTAGTTATTTCCAGTGGTATTTAGTCACGGATCAACGGTGAGTGGAGTTTTGGGACCCACTGACTTCAACCTACACTGTATCGTTTCGGCCTGTCATCAAGTATCAATCTACGTTCAATAATGCCTAAGAAAGTTACTGTGAGGAAAAAAAAAATCAATTTTATTTAAAAACCCTCCCAACTACCCCCACCCTTTCACCCCCCATAGTGGCAGGGTGTTTATTTCCACCCACATGAGGCAATGCTGTCTAAAGTTAGAGGCAGCAGTCCACACAGTCTGACCCCCTCCCCCCCCATAGTCTGGGTTAACCGTGGGCCATCAGTGCAGCGCACACTCGACTGCTCCATGCGGCCCCGAGAGACAGAGTTATAAATACATGTGGCTCCTTTTAAAGGTTCAGCTGGTAATAGCCGAGACCAAACAACAGAAGGAAAACGGTGTGTTTTTGAAAGATGTGTGACACTAAAAAAAACCACCCACTCCTCTCTCATGAACGCTAGGGTCAGAGAGGAAGAGAGAGAAAAAAAAAACCCCAAAGTTTGGAACAAACTGTTGTACAAATTTGCAACATGGAGCATGAGAATGTCCCTGAAAGAATAATGTATTTAATAATGTCTGCTGCAACATCACATCGCACCGATGATAAGCTGAATCCTGTCAAACAGCTACATTAGACGGTGCTTTGACAAATATGACTGGACCGTACTCTACTTGTCCAAACCCCACGGGGTTTTTACTGGTTTTTCCCCCTAATACAAAATGGACATCTCTATATTTAGTTCCCTGTCCTTCTAATGGTGTTCCCACGGGTCCTGGAAGTGCCCACTACCATGTACCCTTAACACACAGACATCTGGGGCATTTCTAAGGAAACCACCTCTTTGCCCTTACCATTACCTTATAAAGTCCTGTGATGCTGCACAGACCTGTAATGTATATAAAAAAAAAATCACAAAGTAAACGTGTCTGTGAAAATAATATTTAAAAAAAAATATTAAAAAAATTCTTACGTTGCAAAATCTGACTTCATTACTTTTCAGCTGAAAAACTGTCACCTCACGTCAATGACTGTGGACGGTGAGAAGAGGAGGAAGTGGGACAGAAGTGTTTTAAATGGGGCGGAAAGATCTGTATCATAGAAAGTTCCCTCTCTTCTCCTTAGAGATACAACAAAAGGACGAGCGCACCGACACGTGACTGTGGGGATAAATATAGCTACACCTCCAGTGTAGTTAGTGGAGAACCTGATGTGCTGAGTAGCTTTGTCAAGTGTCTAAACACTGTCAGGAAAGGAGAAAAAGAAGGAAAAAAAATGAAAAAACCTGGCAGTGCCGTCAGCACGTCAGCTAATTCTGGACATACTTCTGTACAACAGCTACCATCTGATGTCAGTGAAGTCACCAGAGCTTGTACGACTCACTGTGACCTTTCACGTCTTGACTCAACTCAACAGCACGTCAAGTGGAAGGAAATAAAAAAATGAAGACGTACTTCTTAACTTTATTAGTGTCATCAAATTGTCTGAGAGGGTGGGGGGTGATAATAAAAAGCAAACCGATCAATGTGTTTACTGTTTCAGTACTATTCACACACACATACACAAGCGCGCGCACACACACAAACACACACACTTTGCCTTTGAGTCCTGCAGTTTCTATGGGGAGAGTCTGCATCTCTGTCTGTCACCTTCCCAGAGGCCAGACAGTGGAAAACACCACAGGCACTTGTAGTCCTGCTCCCTGAAACACATCTTGGAGCGTCTTTCTAATTGAAGATAAATTAATTGAGATGAATTAATAGGATTAAAAGAGAAGATACATTAGTTTAGTTTTAGTTTTAATAATTGGTTATACTAGTCCAGTACAACAGCGCTGTGATATTTATATCAATCACAGTTCATTTGTTTGCATAGTAAACACTGTATCAGTGAATACCAACTCTAAAAAATAAATTAATCATGCAGGTCGTTAATATAAGTTAATGTAACATTATAGAAACGCACACATATATGTATGTTATAGATGTCGTCAGGCCAAGGTGGATTAGTTTTGGTTAACAGGTAAACAACTTGTTCCGCCATTTTGTTTGTCTAGTCCTAGTATCTAATTGGTATATTTTAAAAATGGAACATTCTACTAGACCTTTTATCGCTCGCCAAATCGTATCTTCATACATTTCCAAATAGGAGTTGGATGTGGACCAGGGAATATTTTTATGTCTGTGTTCGGAGCGTGTTGGAAAGTTATTTAAATACAAACCAATTCAATATTAACTGAAAAAGACTAAATGATTCTCGTGGTACTGACATTAATTTGAATCATTATTTTTCAACTGCTAGTTCTCTCAAAAGGTCCTGCAGGGAACAAAACAAAACTTAATCATTATTCACGCTCAAATACACATCTTTGCCTAATACAGCGTCCTAAATACGCTCAATCTTCATTATGCATCACCAGAGACTGTGCCAGAACCTATGACCAGGAATTGAACCAACGACCCTCTTAATGCGAGTCTACTGTTCTACCATCCACCTATTGTTTACTCTTCATGTCATTTTCTCCCCAATTTTAGATTCCATAAATACTTAAATGCTGTCTTTTGGTTCACGATAAATACAAAGGAAATCTCATAGATTTCAGTTACAATAAAACCTCAGTCTATGCTTCAGTCAAGCTGTAGCATCAGCAGCAGGGGGTTTGACTCGTCAACCCTTTCATTGCTTCTTTCAAACAACAGGGCCCAAAAGAAAATGTAAAAATGATAAGATGTATTTTTATTCAAAAAAAAAAAAAAATGGAGTCGTTTCAGCGTTAAAGACGCTCAGCATACGTACCCATGATGCTAAAAGGACTGTTCCCATTAAAGGCAGTCTCTTTGCAGAGTAACTGTGGACAAATATTGGTCTAATTTTACCAGGAGATAATTGAATTGGCCTGATATAATAGCACACGCAGGTCACACTGCAAATACTGAGCTGAACAACTTGATCTCTCCATGAAGAGAAAGAAGTCTGTGAAGTGCCAGGATGGCGGGAAAAAAATCTCAGAGGAAAAAATAAATCAACGTCTCTGTGAGACGTTTAAGGACATTTTCTTCATCTACTTATGTTTGAGTGCGCAAGCTAAAAAAAAGGAGCTAAAAACTTGCTGACGTCATTCAAAACAGCGCGTTCAAGAATAGCCCGTCTATCCACGAGTTGCCAAGCATCCCTGTCTAATATAACCTCATCTATACAGCGCTTAAAATGACACAGCAGCAGAGCAGTATTCACCGCCGAGTATATTATCAATAAAAACATGACGGGAAAACCGTTCATTTGCGGTGATGTAACACGTCAGGACACGAACAGAGAGTGGGAATCACAGCATCGTTCATCTCACCTGTTGATGGTTGTGCGACCTTTCCTTCACGGCTAACTTTCACCTTCTTAGTCGACACCACAGCAGCAGGCACAGTAAAGTTGCGAGTTAAAAACGAGAGAGAAAGCATCAAGGTGTTCAGTCAGCCGAGTGATGTTAGCCTCGTCCTCCGTGTCGGTGCTTCCTCAGCGTAGATTGTATTCACCTGATGATGCACTAGTTAGATACAGATCACAAAGTGCGCTGCTCTCCAACAGCTGGCAGCTGCAGCCCGCCTCTCCCTTCACCACAGCCCGCCCACTCAGCTCAGCCATTGGACACACTCCTCCGCCAGCTGCCGCTCAGCCTGTTCTCTCACTGTAGCTTGTAGATAGCATTGGCAGTGGCGCCCTTAGAACATTTGTGTCCACAGGGGTGGCCAGATGTGGTCAGATCTGAGGGGTGGGGTGGTGGGGGCATAGGGGGATCACACAAAAAGGGGCCTCGCCCTGATTACCCCGGTTCGGTTCCAGTCAGTGGTCATGTGCTGTATCACTTCCTCCTGCTCCTTCTGATACATTTTTGCCATCTACCTAGACTCTATGTCTTGGCCCCCGCTAATGTGTCAAACACATTGGTGGGGGTGTAATCAGCGATACACTTCCCCTTGAAGGGTTGGTTGTATCTGTAAGACTGTAGAGCTGTTACTAGGCCATAACGCATTAATACGTGTTTCAGCAATCAATTATTATTTAATTTATAAAAATTGTGACTTGCACCGTGTAATTTTTTGTCCATCAAGTTAAGAAACTCAGCAAAATGGACTTTATTATAAGGCAATTATAAACTGTTTTTTAAGCTCCCACGGGCCATAGAAAATGACCCAGTGGGCCACATTTGGCCTGCAAGCCTTTAGTTTGACACATATGGGTGAACTGATTTTTATGGAGCTATTTCCAATTCATAAACAAAGCCAGTGAATAAACAATGTCAGTGTTTAAAGTAACTATTAATTATTATAATGAAATGAATAAATTAAATTGGGACTTGATGGAAAGTCATTAGTAAAGTCGCAAATAAGGAAATCCGTAGATATTCCCTGAGGTCCAGTACAACTGACTCCATTGGCCTCAATTGATTAAAAGGAAAGTGACAGCTAACGTGTGAAATTTCTACTTTGTGGCCTCTATCCCACTGTAAACGTACAGTACTGTGTGTACAGTGTACAGTTTATCCGTACTTCAGCTTAAATCTGCTCTGTCAGTGATGCTATTTTAAACCAAAGTGAGTGGGGTTTTCTCCACTAGCGTGCTGGTTAAAAAAAAACTAGATTGTCCTATATAAATGACGACACGGTACAAAGGCATTTTACACAAAATGAGGTGTCGGTAGAGCTCGACGACAACTCCCAGATGGATTGTAAAAGTCAAGGTGACATCTGTGTTTTCATATCCTCACATTTCCAAAAAGGATTATTCAACACATTGGTTCAATGATGAAAATAGTAGAGGCAGAAGCACTTCACATCCAATTATTAGTATTTAGTAACTGAGCAATTCATGACAATTATAGTTCTGCTGCAAATACAACATTTTAACACAAAAATTAGAACAAACACGTTGCCTTTCTGTGTTTTATAGAATTAAAAATGACAGGGAAAATGAAAAAAGGAGAGAAAAAAACACTGAAAAACCATGCGCATTTAAAAACAGGGACAGTGGTGGAGAGCAGACGGTGTGTCATGAGGTTGAACAATATATTTAGTACTAATAACTGAATGATCTGCTCAATTTACTATTTTTGGGATGCGACAAGATGTTCTCCTAAAAATACTACGGTCATAAATTATTAGCACAGATCACGTGTGCAGGTGTGGACAACAACTCTATTTCTCCCTCTATTTCGGTCTCCCACACACACTCGCATGCATATTAGCACCGTAGCTATACACTCATCAACACTGCGTACGCACCCGAACACACAATTTGCCATCCCACCGGGGAGCTCAAACTGTGAACCTGATGCAATAGTTAGCAACATCCCTGCAGACAACTATAGCTGTTACCTGCAGGAGTCATCTTCATGGAGCTTCATGAAGCTGTCAGAAAATAGAGCCGTCCCCGAGCTGCATACAACCAGTTAATCACCTGTAGCTAAGGGGAAATTAGAATTCCCTGAGGTTGTGTTTATGCACATCCTGACGATGTGCTATGAACACTGGGAAAAGGTCAGTGGGAGAGTTGACTGGCAAGTGTGATCTTTAGATGTGTAGTACAGTCTTTGAGAGAGCAGTGAAATGACATGTTATGATCAAATATACCTTTGCCATTCCGTCCTGTTCGGGCGTGTGGGTCAGGGGTCTGCCATCAAATTCACTAAGTGGCAAAAAACTTTTCAAACATTTAAATAATGAGGATTATGCCGTTCTATTTAAGCAATTAGTCTTATTTATATATATATATTAATATATATAGAATATACAGTATATATATATAAAATATCAAAATTAATAATATATATATAATAAAAATATATATAAATATATTTATTTATATATGGATATAAATATATATTATTTATATATACAGGGATCAAGCCGGTGTGCGTTTATTCGCTGTCTGTCACAATGCAGTGTCAAAAGAAAGAAATGCGGTGTCTATTCTGTTACCGACCACAAGTGGCACGTGGTACTGAAGGAAAATTATATAATTGATTTATATATGCAAAAATATTTAACTTTGAGACTTTGAGTCAAACAATTGTCTTTTTTTATTTGTTTATCCATAAACCAGCAAATGCTCTCATTTCTTCTCTAGCGACTACATATGTAGCTCTCTCTGTTCCAATGTTAGTAACCAACCATTGTGTGTTTACTATACTGATATTTACTGCTATTAAATAAAAAAGAAACCCCAACATGTCTAGCCTATAGTATGCCAGTGTATCCCAATATATTGTATTGTTGCCCCTGTATTGTGATACTTATCGTATCGTCAGATTCTTGCCAAGATGCACACATATTTATATTTAATTTCTGTTCATTTCAGTTTTTCACCTCAGTCGTACACAGTGGTCCTTCAAAAATCGACAAAACCACAGAGTAGAAACTACTGCGAGATAAGAGTGCACATGTGAACTTTCCGCCTCGAGTCCCTTTTTTTCATTTTCCTGAAACTTCTCACTTCTGCTTTTGACAAGATGAACCACGGCCCTTTTAGACTGCGTGGTGAGACTCTTACATTTAGAAATAGCCTTTTGGTCAGTGTACATGTGCGAGAGCAATCGTTCACATTGTGTCCCTTAATAGCAATTTTCTTTTCTGCACATCAGCCAGGAGCAGGGGTTAGAAAGAGTCTCTTTTTCTTGGTAAAGAAATGGTTGTCGGTGGAGACACAATGTACAAGTCCGAACACGGCACACATGAGCTGTTGACACGCACATCTAGATTTTTTTAATGGATGCATAAATCGAAAACATTTCTCTAAACTGCTCTCATTGTACTGGGGCAAATTTTGTCGTGTCCGTCCTGGACGGCGTCCTTCAAACACAGCATATACAATTCAATTATGACCTTTTTCACTTCTCTCTGTCATCTGTCTCACTCATAGAACATAGAGAAATTGGGTGCACTGAGATCTCACTCCACCACCAATCTTAGATATCAAACATTTAAATAGTCAATTGGGTTTCCGGGCAAAAGATCTCACATCTGTCCAAAGTTGAGCAATATGGGAACCATATACCAGTTTGTTTTTCCGGTCGACTTTTGTATGTTGGAGTTTTGCGGAACAATGTTGGTTTGTCTGCCAGTTTAACCCTCAACAGGCTATGCAAATGTTGAGGGTACAAGTGAATCTTTGACCCTTTGTGGCCACCATAGTTAGTCAGAGGCAAAAGTCTTGGGACTGAATTAAAACTAAACTACTAACTACTGTATATATACACACACACATATATCACATAAACAGACGGTTGTACAGTTTCCAACTACAGTATAACCTCTTTAATTTAATTTAATTTAAATTAATTGTGTTAATATAATAATATTATACAAATTAGATTGGTAAACTTTAAGATATTTATTACAAAAACATTGCAATTTGTAGTATGGCTTTTTTGCAAGCCTTGGAATACTACTACTGCCATGTGGGGAAAATACATACATATTCATACATATATAAATATATATGTATATATGTATGTATATATAATATATATATATATATTTTATATATAAACATATATTTTAATATATTATATATTTTATACATATTTTTATACATACTCACACATAGATATGTATATTTGTATTAACAACCAGGTTGTCTTGTCAGGTCCTGGGGTTCTTGGTTAAATATAATGACTTGCAGCTGCAAAACATGGATGGACTGGAAATTATATTAATTGCAATTTCGAAATTTTCTGTAATTTTCTGTGCTTCTGTAATGACCTGGTAAACTGTCCAGAGTGTGCCCCAATGACTGGACAGATTAACTCCAGCCCCCACGACCCTGAAGAGGATTAAGATTACGAAGTCCAGCAGACGCAAAGCAATAGACAGTGAATGATAGACATGGTAAAAAGGGAGAGTTACAGCTATTCTGGGATTATGTCATCATTTCCTGTCATTTGCAACTACAGCATTTAACTATGGTTGTCCAACAACCAATGAAAGCCTTTGATCAATCGCTTTAATCCTTTGGTATCTTGTAAATGACTTTGATGTTTAACAAAGTCTAGTTGGACAGTAAAAAAAGATTCCAGAATGAAGTAGTACAGTAAAGGATTGGATTGGTGTCAACACTAGTATCAACATTATGGATGGAAACAGCTGCCAAACAGTTACAGCCAACAGCAAAAGGATGAAAATGCAACAGGATGTTTTCTGTGCTATACTTTGTCAGTGCTTCAGTCATTAAGACAGTAAAGACGCTCATTAACTATTTCCTGTCTTCTTTAACACACTCGGTGCAGAAAGAGAAGGAGTGGAGGGTCAGAAGGGGTAGCAGGGAGAAAATGAAGAGAGGCAGAAGTGAGGACTGTTTCAGCTCTGCCGTGTCCACTTGTCACAAGGCCATGGACAGAAGCACGTGTGACACAGGTGAAGCGGAAACCTTGTCCAGATTAGATGTGTCCAGTGAACAAGAGGAAGGCCGCGGCCGGTCCGATGCTGGCGACCATTGCGAATCAATCTGTCGGTTTGCAAATACTTCCTACAACTGCTGGATGAACGCATCGTTGCAGGCTGTCCTCAACTTGAAGTATGTCCAGAAGAAAATAGTGCGCCTCCCCCCTGACAAGGTGATATATTCCTCAATAACACCAAAGTTTGGGGAAGTTTTTTGGACTGCACTCAAAAACCCCGGGAGGACGTTCAACCCAGCAGAGCTGTATGACGTTCTAAAGGAACTGAGTGAGGAAATACCATCTCTTTATTTAGACAAGTGCAATGATGTGCTGGAGTTGGTGCAACTGCTGCTGGCCTGGCTTGACAAGAGTGGAGTGCAAACGATGAAACAGACAAAGGTGTCCATAAGGTGTTATGAATGTGGATTCACCTCACTGGATACCTCGGACTTGAATATTTATTTTTTATCCCCGCCCAACAACTTTGACTCCATTTCGTCTCTCTTGACGCGGACCCTGAATGAGTGCACCAACCTCGGACACTGCGTGAAATGCGGTGCCATCGTGCAGAAGGAGCAGACGGTTGATTACCCTGAGATATTGACGCTTTACTTGCCGAGAACAAGTGACATTGAGTACAGAAAGGTTGTGTTGCCGTGTCCAATAGTCGAACTTCCCATGGATGAAAGCACAACACAGGCGTACAGTCTGTCCTCAGTCATTTGTCACAGATCCTTGTTCGTGGTCGAAGGGCACTACTGGTCTTATCTGATCAAAGATGATGTCATCATCGAGGCCAACGATGACAAAATATCGGTCAGTAATGACGTACGGGACGTCTGCTTTGACGGGGTCATTTTTTTCTATGAAAGATGCACATAAACGACCAACACTAATCCAGAGTGACGACAGAAGGGTGAAGGGTGAAGGGTGAAGGGTGAAGGGTAGCTACAGCGAAAGACACCAGACGCAACAGTCGGTGTTGGGGACAAGCCTTGTAGAGTAAATGGGAGTCAGTGTTCGTACAATAAATTAGGAGCAGCTGGATTAGGTGCAGCTCACTGCTTGGGCCTTGAGCTATGCTGATTTCAGTCACTTGTTCTCAGCTTAGTAAGAAAAGCCTTCTAAATTTAGGATGCAAAATTTAGAAACAGTGGTATGTAGTGTTGATGCTCAGTGTTCGAAATCACATGATGTCCATAACGGTTTCCAAATGTCTTTTGAGGACCACATTTGGTGGCGATTGTAGCCGAAAACCCACAGCTGATTGAATTCCCCAAGCTCACAGCTTGAGACGTAGCATTTGCAGTACTCCGGAAGGATTTGTTGCTAACATCCTGAGGAGAAACCCTCAGAAAGGTGTCTGTCCATCCAGAAGACGCTGACACAGAGTCATCACAGAATAATTCTGAATTCAGAGGAAGTGGATGATGCACAAAAACGGCAACCAACGTCCGGATCTTCAACACACAAACACACACACCCACTTGATGTGACTTTTGACTCCTTAAGTTGTTATTACTGTCTTTTTTGCATAATACAAAAGTGTAATTCCTATCTTTTACTATTACAGTTTTAATTAAACATATTTGAGATGTATATACTTTGTGGTGCAGCGTGGAAATGTTTTGAGAACACACCGTGAGTGGATATTTTCAGGTATTATTTTCATTCGAGGACAAAAAAACAATGACAAACTTGATCAGATATATAATATTTGTTAACTAAAAGGAAAATTCCAGAAATGCCCCTAAACATTTTGAACAGAGAAATGTTGCCCCCTGGGTCACATGACACATTTTTTAAGACCACTATACAGTATTTTGGTATACAGGTACTGCAGTTTTTTAGGTTTGATTTTGTTGATACTTTTGTTGGTACTGTATATAGTGCACCACATACAGTATATATTATAGGTCAGCGAGACGACCCAAAGAAAAAACTCTTGCGACCCACCTGAGGGTTGCGACCCAGTCTTTTATAGGAGACATCTGGATTAAAAACTGGACAGTCAAATCTACTATTTGATTATAAAGGGATTATTTTTTTATTTTTAAAAGGTTTTTATTGAAATTATCAACGCATGTTTCGTAGGTGGAACACGCGTTGATAATTTTAATAAAAACCTCTGTTTCAACATTCACATTCTATAAGCAGAACAAGCAGCTAGAAAGGCCTTTAAGTATTGCACACAGACTGACATCTGCCTTTGGAAGAAACAAAAATATTTTATATATAAATATATATAAATATATATTTGTTTTGTTTTACTGCATTTTTAGAAAGTGTTTCATCTCGTCTGGAAATGCACTTTCCAAGCCCTTGCAATTACTGTAATTTCACTATGACGTCATCATGAGTCCTGAATTTGGGTTGTTATGTGGAGTGTACTGAAGAGTACTGTAAGTAAAAACTATATTTGAAAAAGAAAAAAGAAAATAGAATAGACTTTTTAAGCAGCACATCAGTTGAGCAGCGGTATATTAAGGTCACTATTCGGGGAAACTGGCAGTTTTCACCTAAATATATAAATTTCTTTTTTTCATTTTGTAATAATTGTTTATGAATTTTTTAAACAATTTAATTTTTTAATTTTTTTAACAATTTAAACAATTTAATCAGAAATGCTGAGTTTAAAAATCCCAAAACTGTACTAAAACACTGGAAGAATAACATGCATAAAATATAAAAGAGAGTGGTTATATATGCTTAATATTGTATATTAAGGTGGAAATCTGTGCAGACTCGATCATATGCTGTGACTGTTCTACAGTCTGATGAAATGAACAGTGTAATCCTTTAATCCCATTAGAGCATAAGAAATAGGCTAATCTGGACTGTAGTCAGTGGTATAATAACAACATGAAATAATAACAACAACAATAATAGAACTTAATCATAATTTTTCCTCAGTTTTACAGCGTCCACTTCAACCTGTCCTGTCTCGCCCTTTCAAAATAAAGCAACTCTAGGATAAAAATATATATAGCTGGAATATAGTTCCACGTAAATATTTGAATGATGTGCCACATTGTTGTAGCTCGATCACACACCGTCTGCGCATTGTGCCGAAGGATCCCCGAGAAAAAAGTCCATTGTTGCTGCGGACTTTTTAATCTGCGGGGATTTAAACACATCACATGCTCAGACGCGGGCAGCCGGTCAACTCTTCGACCACGGAGTGCAGACATCCAGGCAGGAGAGGAAACTGCTCACCCTGCAAGGACCCGAGACAACTTCATACTCCCTGTCCCTGCGATGCCAGAACACCGACAGGGAGTTCAGGGTTAGTGCGGAGTGATCTGGACACTGGATTGGAAAAGTTATAATATTTAAAAAAAAATCTTTTTGGGATAAAACCCGTGACTAACTATGACGCAAAACTACAGCCAACGGGCTGTGATTGTCCTGTGCTTGCTGGGGGTTTTATCCGCCGTCATGTCCGTGCTGTCGGTCACCTTGATTCTCCAGCTGCAGTCCCATCAGGCGTCAGTGAAGGAGACTCCCACCGCCTCCTCGTCCACCTTGATACCGGATCATGTGCGGACTGTCCTGCTGCCGGTCTCCTCCGTGCTCTGTGCCCTGTCCCTCACCCTCCACCTGAGCTGTGTGGTCATCTGTCTGCTCCACAGCTACTTCTCCGCTGAGGTCTGCAGGGGAGAGCAGGACACCGGCAGGTACCTGACCTGTTGTCATCATTCATTTTATAATAATGATCTTAATATTAGCCTTGATTTACGTTCGAAGGCACAGGTGCACCCGTGACTGTAATATATTCATAAGAGGTCAGGGGTCACTCAATGTAAAGTTCTATAATGTAAAAATGTACGGTTTGATTAATTAAATAACATCTTGGTCTGCTTTAACAGTTATTTAATTGTGAAACACGAGACACTTAAAAATCTGTTTTTTTAGTTTTTAGTTCTTTGTTACAAGCAAAACTTAGGAATCCCTGAATTACAAAAAAAACTGCTACAATTTTCCCTTCAATACTCCTAAAAATACGTCCTGCTTCAAAGACACAATAAGACTGCTGTGAGTCCATAAAAGGAGTCAGTGCAAAACTAATAAAAATCCTAAATATAACCATAAAAGAACAAAAAGACAACTACAACTTAAAACATTTAATTTTTTTTCTTACATTGTTCAAAATGTTTTTTATATATTAAATAGGAAGGAGTTAAAAAGTAGATTTTTGGTGGGCAACTACAATGGAAGCTAAACTGTCTGTTAATATCACTGGTATCACAACAACTGACATCAACTTTATAAAGGGCTTTTAGCGTTTACTGCAATTTTATTGGTTCACTGTTAAATAAATCACTTTTATTTAAACTTTACGACAACAAAACGAAAAACAAAACTACAAAACAGTGTTTTAGGTAGAACCCTCTTTTGTGTCAGAGTGCACTGGCCCACACTGCTATGTTGTTGGTGTATCCCCCCACTACTCCGCCTCTATGAATCCTATGGAAACAATGGCCTTCTTCTTATTATGCACCCGATGCATGGCCTCTAGCTGGACCTTTCCCACATTGGTTTACAAACCCAGCAGCATGCCCCATGACCTCCACACTGACAGAGTGGACATTCCTGGAGTATGGGAATAACAATGAGTTTCAGGACACATTGTATTTTAAATATACATGAAAAAATTGGCAGCATGTTTTAGGACATAATCTTGCATTTTAAGGCATTTTGGGGACTTTTCAGTGATTTTTGAAATATTCATATAAAATATTTTTGGACCCATAAGTCATGGTTTATAAACAAAATAAAAATAATGTTCCAGGACTTTTCAGTCCTAATGTGGAATTAAAGGCAGAATAGTTGGAATATTTATTATAAAAAACTCAACTTATTTGTGACTTCAATTCAAGCATAGGGTAACAATGCTGAAGTGTAAACATAGAGTTACTTGTGCCATGACACCAAACAGATGATATTTCTTTCATCAGAGGAGACTGGTTCCTGCTGGATAGCAGAGGTGTTCGACATGTAGCCGTTGGACTCTTTTGCACGGCTGTTTCTGTCTACCTGGCAGGTAAGAAAAAAAGATACAGAGGTAGAAAATGGAAGAATTATTGTTGCCAGTTTTCAGCATTTGGGTCTAACCCGTACTACTGCCTCTGCTGCTGCTGCCTCTGCTGCTGCTGCTTCCCCTCTGCTTCAACCACTGACTCGAGGAGAACAATGCATTCTTTGAGCAGCGTCCATGACTTGAGTGTTTTTAATGCTGGACCTGGCAGCGCTGTGGTGCTCTGTTCCACTGAGCGGCATGCACTATGGTGTTCGTTGAGGCAGTCGCTCTATTGTGACGATGAAGGTGTCGTTGGTCTGACTCCAAATCAGCTACAAACATCGAGGCAACAGTGCAGGGGACGTAAAAAAAAAAAAGAAAAAAAAGAAAGACCACCACTTTACAAAGTCACATTATATCCCAGAGCTGTGCGTTTCTCCCCCTTCCTTTGGCATGCCAGACTCTGTGGTCCTTCTCCTGCAGACAGGCACAAACAACACTAGTGGTCAGAGCTGTTTCAATACATTGGTGTTTGAGATTTACACAAACAACACCTTCAGTAATCAAGAAGGAGGAAGACGAGGCAGAAGGAACAATGATGCAGACATAACAGTAACAGTGTCACCAAAGATCGCTGAGCACAAGACAGACAAGAGTCAGACAAGAATGAGTTGTCTACCTGTTGTCTAACATAGGGGTTGGCAGTTATGAAAAGAAACGTGTATGTTTTTAGAGCACTGCTTAAAATATAATTACCAATACAACGCAATATAAACCGCTTCCTTCCAAGACACAACTCTGAATGTGAAACTAGCAGCCATTTACCAACAGCTGCTGCTATACACTGGTTCTTTAGATCATACTTATAAGAGAATGTGGCATGGTCTAAAAAATCTGGGCCAGGTTTGCTTCTCAATAAATGGTGGTTGCTTACAGCTAGGAGAAAAAGTCAATTGCCCGGAGCACATTTCTTAGTTTTTACAACCCTGCTGACAGTACTTTTCATGTCTATTCTAATGTATATAGTATTTGTCAATTGTCTAATTTTCTGTCTTTATTTTCATTTTCTCCAGCCATGTCCATCTTCCTGTTACTAGTATTTGAGACAGAGACAGGTATAGCCAGTGCCTGTGTCCTTTCATCGGGGATTCTGATCCTGCTCGTGGCAGTAATTCACTCTTTAGTCAAAGCGTCTCGTAGTGCTAAGTACTATCAGAGCGACCACCTGGACACACTCTTCCAGAACGACAACAGCAGCAGCAACATGAACGTATCTCGGCCCTGTGAGCTCAAAATCGGCGTGGACAAACCGCGGATGCACCGGACCCAGTCTCACCTGCAGCATCAGCTTTCCTACTCTCAGTGCAACAGCACCAGACAGCGAGAACAATACCAGCAACAGCACTACCCCGCTGTCGCAGTCCCGCACGGCCACCCCAGTGAAAACGACGGCTACAGCAACAGTGGCAGCTATCCCCGAGTGCACAGGACCGCGTCTACTGAGTCTGGTCTGCTGCAGACCCCGACTAAACCCTGGAATGGAGTCAACAATGAGATGAGGAGCGTCCTCGCTCGCAAATCAGGCATCTCTACAAAAGATTCTACTTTAGTGTGATGGAAAGAAAGCAGTTTTTCTTGGACCAGTCAGTCTCTTTGATTTTACACTGTTTTCAACGAATTGTGAAAAAAAAACAAACAAACAAAAAAAAAAACACTGCAACTAAAATAATGAAATATAGCTTTCATTTTTTCTACTAATTCCTGTCTGGAATTATAAAGAAATTAAGCACAGGCATGCACATCTTGTGTCATTTTGATTTTTTTTTTATAATTAAAAAAACCCCATAATAGAAAATTCAGTTTATAGGATAGGTTTTTCTCAAGTGTTTATCAATGAGTTTCAATTATTTTATGTTTTTGAGTTGTTTACCCACGACTTTTTACCCATATTGATTTAAACATAGAATGACTCTGAACTATTAAACAAGGTATGTTCACACAATGTGGACAAGATGTTGTTTTACTGTATTTCACTCATTTACTGTCAAAAACGTATTGATTTATTTTGTTATGGGCGCAGCTGAGTTATGTTATATTGAGGAAAAACAGCAAAACACATGATCACGGGAAAGTGGGTGTGGCACACAGAGCAAAGAAAAAGAGGTAGACAACTGTAGGTGAAGGATTCTATCGTATGAGATGCATGAAAGTGTTGATGGGAACAAGGAAAAGTTTTTGTTAATGAGAAATGGCGCAAAAATGATTCACATTGGTTCACGCTGTAGACTAGACATTGATTAAAATAATGCTGTCAGATAAAAAACAGACCAGTGCAACTGAATCATTCTTCTACATTAATTTACAGGGCATTAACAAGTTACAGAGCAACAGATCATTAGCACAACAACACACCAGCCCAGTGAACTTTTCAAAATTATGTGGAGGTTATCAAACATGTAAATGCCACTGAAAAATCACAAAATGCACAATCTGTCACATACCTAAACGGTACCGCACAATTAGGATATGAAAAAATACTATTTTCAGTCCTATAATAATTTTGTGGTTTTTCCAATCTTAACAAAGAGTAACTAACCAAAAAATATTTTTGGCTTGGTAAGAGATAGCCAGCTTTCCCGACACAAAAAGAAGGATTTGACGAAGTAAAAACTTCCCTTTCTGTTAATGTTAAATACAACTACGGAAACGGATGTTTTACTGCAGTACCGCTGATGCTGCTTTTTGCGTCGTGTTTTTTTTATGATCAAAAGGTCAGCTTCACTTCTACTTTTCCTCAGAGAAGCAGCCTAACATCACATCTCCACACAATGACCGTGATTTCTTGAAGATGCCGTTGAATGCTGCCTCCTACCTCCGACCTTGAAAGGTGCTAATCTGTTCCTTCATGCTGATGGCTTGTCGCAGGAGACTGTCAATGTTTTTGAAATATAGGCTGCTGTTGGTCATGCTTTTCACAGCACTAAAAAAGGAAAAAAAAAGACTTGGTTAAGGTGTGATGGAGGTCAGCTACTGTGGTTCTGTAAATATCTGTGAGGTTAGCGTATCTTCTCACCTGCAGGCGTACTCCACTGTATAGATAGCACCTTGACTCTGCTCCTCCCAACTTTGCATATCTGTCTGGGTTAAAGTCAACAAAAAAAGTAATCAAACACCTATTAAAACAGAAACCACAATTATTTTAATGAGTCAAAGCTAAAAAGAACAACACATAATAAATCCCTGAATTCCATTTAGTTTTTGCAAAAGAAAAAGGGAAAAAACATCATCCTCTGTGAATGGGTTTTATAAACATCTTTATTAAATTGTAGAACATTATTCTTTATTAAGCACCTAGTTTCTAATAAAAAATAGATCAAGTCCTTGTGTATTAAAAGATGGAGGAAAGAGAGCAGCAAAGCAGCTCATAAAAACACTAAAACCCAATTGTTTGTTTAAAAGAAAAGCCACGGTATTTGCTTACTATTTACATACATAAAAACCCCTTCCTCTCCTGTGGCAGTGTTTCCAACAGCCCCATCCCCAAGTGAGTATGCTGATGTAACACTACTGTTTCGTATAAAACTAATCCTCTATCATAGTAAAAATGTTTCATATTTAGAGACATTTGAAGTGGGGAGTGCCAAGGACAAAGCTGAAAATAAAGTGACAGGGTATGTCTTAGACCAGTGTAAAAACACCGCTCAATGGTTTGAGCCAATCAGTCATGTGATTAAGGGGAAAGGGATAAAAGGGACGGAGAAATGTTTGTTGGAGATGGACTTGTGGAGTTTGTATTGGAAGTAGATTGGAGTATTGGATTGTGAGAATTATTATCATCATCATCAGTATCAGTAGTGTTGTTGTTGTAGTAAAGTGGTTGATTTTGTATGTGTGGAATAAACACACATACAGTACCACCTGGAGAATCATTCTCTTGTGTTTTGCCTCCGGACCGCTCGGGCAAACTGACAAGTGGTGTCAGAAGTGGG